ACAAAAAAGTTTGGGGATGTGGCTTAGTGATTGAGTTCCCCTGAGTTCAATCCCAAGTACCCCCACACCAGAAAAGCTGTAATGTCTTGGATAAATATTAAAACAATATTGAAGGAGTACCTGGAAAATAATAACAATAAATTCTCAGGGTCCTCAGAGAAGGAATTGATTTAATCATGTTTGATTTTGTACCCTTCACACCAAGCGAAGCCAGTTTGTTAACCGAATAAGTTTCTTCTCTTTAATTTCTAGGGTGTGCAGCAACTATGAAATTAAGACACAAGTAAATTTCTTAGTCCATTAGTGTTTTCTTAACATTCACTCTCTTAACCCTAACCATCCTCTCTGCTCTTTGAAATTGGCAATGTGTTTACTGCAAATTCACACTCTATCAACAGAGGGCAGTAGCTGACCATCATCTTCTTTATTTAGTCTTTCAGATACTTTGAAGGCTTAACAGAGAATAGACACATGTACCTTGATATTTTTTGTTGTTTCCTACCACCAAGAATGGAGGAAAATGGTGCAAAAGCTAGGATTTTCCATTTTAAAAATGATTTAAACTGAAATGTGAAAGCAAGCTCTTCAAAAACTGGCAAAAGAAATGAGCCAAATTATGGACGAATTAGCAAAATTTTCCCCCATTCTCATATGTCAAAGTTATCAATCATTTTCTTGGAATAAAATAAGAAAATCAGTATCAGAAACCTCATAAAATTACATTTTCTGTACATGAAAAAAATTAATAGATCAAACCTGCAGATTTCCCCCTCTCTACTCTGGAAAAAAAATAAATTAAAAAAAAAAAAACATATATATATATATATATATATATATATATACGCTCGCGCGCACACACACACACACACATATATATAAAATAAATAACACATTCAAAACTTATACAGCAAAATAACATATGAAAGATGGTGTTAGATATCTAATTTTTATGTGCAAATCCTGAAATTCATACTTTAGTTGTCTCCTGATTTCCAACACCTTCATCCCCAGGTTATTTTACCTGAGTGCTCCCAAATTATAAGGCTGCAACAGGGATGCCCCTTACTATCACCAGGGAAAATAGGCCCAGAAAATAAGTGAGGAATTCTAGACTATATGATGATTGGTGTTCTCTCCTAGTACATTTAAGTCATCTTTTCTACAAATTTCTAACTTCCAGCTGTTTTGTTGCTGAAAAGTCAAAAGTATAGGGTGAGAGGAGCCTATAAGTTAAAAAGTATAGGGTGAGGGTGAGATCAGCCTCCATTCAGACCCCAGGATTATCAGTCAGGAATTTTTGACCTGAAGCAGATGATGTAACTACTGCGAACCTCAATTTTATTACCTATGTATGAACAGTAATATTCCCAGCCTCAAATGGTTGTTGTGAAGATTTAGTGGGACATTTAATAAGGTTTGGGTTTTATTATTGGCTATTTGGAGAGAAATGGTGCTTAACTGGAAGCAGCTGGCCAGAAGACTCTGGGAAACTGCCCAGGGATATTTTAATGCTTAAACATTAAGAAAGAGAAGGGAAATTAAGTATGTGGAAATGTGGCAGAGTTGGGGCCAAGAGGAGACTGAGACTTGCCTTTTCTTATATAAATATAGCTTTCTGGTTTTTAGAGGAACAGAAAGTATTCATTTCAAACTTTCTCTGGTATGAAAAAGATATACATTATTGAAAATGTCAGAGATCCTAGAGTCCCTTCAAGCAAGAAGTTCAGGATGACATTATACTTCTCCATTCCTTGTCAAACAAATGTCATCCCTCTGTGAACCCTGAACCACATGGAGGAACCCTGAACCACATGCAGGCCAACAGAGAGCCAAAGAATACACAAAACAAAGAAGCCCACAGTGAGTCAGAATTGATGAAACTGCATTGAGCACCTACTATGTGCCAGGCTCTGTGTTGGGGGTGATGAACAAACTGACATGGTCCTCTGACCTTCATGGAATTTATATTTATAGGTATCAGGTCCCTGGTGACAATCTACAGATATGCTAAAGCAGAATCTCCTGAAGTAAAATTTTAACTTTCTCAGAATCTGAGCATAGATCCTGCCCCTACTCTAACAAATCAGACATCCTAGGATATAGGGAATACAGGCAGCTCTATTTTTAATAAGTGTCCTCTAATGATTCTGGGAAACATCTAAAATCTGAGAAGTACCACCAGTATTTCTCATAGGGTGTGTCTCTGATTGATTCCATCAAACTCAGCCTAAAGAGTAAAGTATGTATGTTTTCAGTGCACTCCAAAGTTTGAGTCATTATGCTAGATTTGTCTTTCTCTTATACCACTTCTTTTCTATTAAGTCCATGTGTATGAAAGTGTACCATCAATTGCAAATCATGATATAAAGTCAGTTGGGATATAGTTCTTCAGACCTTTTAATCAACTAAGTCCAGTTTATACAAGTACAGTCATGTACCACATAATGTCTCAGTCAATATCAGGCTGATGGTCACAAAAGATTGCGTCACCTAGTGACATTGTAGACATCTTAGTTCATATAAATACACTCTATGATGTTTGCACAACAAAAATGCCTAAGGATGCATTTTGAGAATGTATTCCCAATGTTTAACCACACTGGACTACAACTAAAATCAGTGTGATACAATGAGGCACTCCTCAGCTTAACAATCTCCAATGGAATCTTTGTTTTTGTAGTTATCACGTTTGAATGGCTTCCTCTCAGAAGGTCCATAAAGTATAAGCACTCTGTTGGGCCACTAGCAGAACCTTTGGTACTATGTCAGAAATACTTAGACCCTGTGTGAGCACAGTGATGTGTTTCTCAACCCATGTATTTAGCTTTCTGAACAAACTATGGGATCCAATTCGAGATGTAGGATTCAGAATGAGGAAGAAATTTGATGGATAGGAGAGGATGGACAGATGGTTAGAAGATAATAACTTTCCATTTTAGATATGATGAATGACAGATGCCTTTGGAATGTCCAAGTGGTGATACTACAAATGGCTAGAAATAGAGTGTGAGGATCAGAAGAAGTAAGACCAATGAAGGACAGCAGGCTTCAGCTGGAAGTGATAAGGAGTTTGCATGGTGAGAAAATAGACAAAGGAAAACTCATCAGTGTGCAGAGTGGCAGGAAAAGCAAGAGAAGAGAGATAATACTGAAAGAGCCTCAAGAAAAAGGGATTAAAAAGGGAAGAGGTGAATTATAAAAGTGGAGGGCTGAAAATTCAAAAGGAGTTTAAAATTTCAAGGATTAATCACTGCTGCCAAATACTACAGAGCAGAAGGAAGAACAAGAACAGAAGGGAGGCCACTGGATTCTCAACCAGCATGTCATTGGTAACATGTCAAAGAGTGGAGAGAGGTGAAAAACATTCCCTTCATGGTTTTGGCTAAGGTGCTTACTAATCTCCGTTCCTTTTATGGCCCTGTTTTAATTACTTTGAGTCAAGATTATCAGTTATATGTATGTTGGTGTTGAACATTAAAACATTCTGCTTTCTGAAGGGCTGCCTCAGTACAAATCAAAATTTAGCTGGACATGTTCTGGCCCTACTCCACAGCCTACTGTCTGCTCTCACCTTCCCTATACTCTCCTTAACTTTTGAGGAGACACTAGCATTATTATTTTTCAGGTTTTGTGGTAAAACTCTAGCATATGGTGAACATTTAAGGAAAATTTGTTCAATGAATATGAAAGGATGGGATTTGGGAAATGGGTGGAAGAAACTGTCTTCTCCTATTGGAAATACAGTAACACCATCCCCACCCTTTCAAAATTGAATAGCACCAGGTAGGTGTGCCCTACAGTGTAGCTTGTTTGGGGAGATGCTGCTGTGGAAGTCAGAGGACTGAATCCAGCTGTGCCACATTTCACAGCTCTGAAGTCTTCACTTCCTAGGTGGTTGGAAGCATGAAATGAATTGAATAGACATTAGTAAAGATCCAGCCACAGGGCTTTGGGCCTAGTGGAGGCAGTAAATGATTGCTGATAGTGGTTGGCATTATTAATAGTATTAGCTATTAGTTGTTCATTCAGATAGAAAACTACAATGACTTTCCCAAATAATTTGGGCAAGAAAACATCACCACCTTTCACCTACAAAGATATAATCGCTTTTCTGACTCACAGTTACCTACAGGGCACAACTCCAACCAGCACCTAAAGCATGTCTGGAGAAGGCCCAAGCCATTTCCTACAGATCTGAGAACATCATGAATTATGGTGTGAAGTGTGGTCACAAGTTGAAAAGAATACATTCATACTAGAAATCTTGCATTCCTAAACCAGAGTCCCACTTGGCATACTTTGAACAAAGAATCAAGGCGTGGGTAGGGATGGGAGGTGAAGGATGAAATGGGGAGAAGGGCAAGGAGATAAGAAGAGCAAGATGCAGGAGCAGCCAGTTAGTGAAGCCTCTACAGTTACGGCAAAATATTTTATTATCATTTTTTAAGCTGCATTTCTTTGCCAGGCATGACGCCCAAAACCTGGAATCCCAGCGGCTCCTGAGGCTGAGGCAGGAGGAACGCAAATTCAAAGCCAGCCTCAGCAATTTAGCGAGGCCCTAAGCAACCTAGTGAGACTCTATTTCAAAAATAAAAACATAAAAAGGGCCGAAGATGTGGCTCAGTGATTAAGCACCCCTGAGTTCAATCCCCAGTACAAAAACAAACAAACAAAAAAACTGCATTTCTTTCCGGCCCTAGCGCGAGCTGGGCAGTCACACCCTAGGCCCCAACAGAGAGCGACCGTCACCATAGCCCCGGGCCCAGGGCCGGCAAGAGAAAGCCCTGCGGAAAGACGCGTCTCCCCACTTTCTGCGGCGAACCTCCAGCAACCAGAGTCCCTCCCGGGGCGAAGTTCCCGGGCCGCTGGGGGCGGGGCGGGGCGGGGCGGGGCCCCGTGGAAGCCCCGCCCCGTCCGCGGCCGGGCTGGTTCTGGCCGGCGCCCGCCCCGCCCCTGCTCCTCCCGGCGGCCAGCGGCCCGGGGCGGCGGGGGAGGATCGCGGAGGCGGTGGCAGGGACCGCCTGCGAGTGCGCCCGCTGCTCTGTCCCGGCTCGCTAGTCGCCGGAGCCCCGCCGTGCTGTCGCTGGTGAGTACCAATTCGTCCCGATTGACGTCCCCCGGCGGGGACGCTGGCCACAGGGTCCTCCCGGGAATTGGTGAGGGCCTTTTCCCGGCGCGCGAGGCAGAGCGGCCCGGGGGAGTCGGGCAGAGCTCGGGGGAGGCCGAGGAGACGTGTTCCTGGGGAGTGACCTCCCCGCCATCCCTCAGTTTCTGTCGCGACGGAGACTGGAATGGCTCTCCTTGCGGTCCTTAGCTTTGGCTGCTCGTGCTGCCCGGGAGCCCTCGGCGAGGCACTGCGGGCCGCGTGGAGTCCTGACCCCAGGGTGTTTGGGCCTCACCCGGGAGTCCGTCCCGAGCCTGGACGGCGGGTCGTTGTCCCTGAGCTTGTGTGGCAGGTCTGGGAATTCCCATCAAGAGGAAATGGGGTGAGGGAGGAAGACCTCTGGAAGGGGTGGGACACAAAGCCCACCCTAATGGACCCCAAATTCTAAGGAGACCGGCTGCCTTCCCTACTTGATCAGCATACCGGAATGGCACGTCTTCCTACGTGCAGAACACACAACTCTAGTTACAGGGGACAATCTCTAGGACAGAAGTTTCCAAACTTTTTTTGGACTCGGTATCCTTTACCCTCTTAAAAATTAGTATCATAAGGAACCATTGTTTATGTGGGTTGTATAGGTTGATATTTGCCATATATAATTAAAACTCAGAACCTTTTACAGTATTTAATAACATTTTAAAATAATAGACCAGTTATATCTTAACATTTTTTTATGAAAAAAAAAAAAACTATTTTCCAGAACAGAAAGTTATCAAGAATATGGCATTGTTTTACATTTCTGCAAACCTCTTTTAATGTCTGGCTCAATAAAAGAAAACTGGATTCTTGTATCTGCTTTATTCAGTCTCTTGCACTGTCACATGTCATGTAACTTCTGGAGAGCTCCACAGTGGACTCCTGAGAATGTGAAAATGATAAAAGCAAATAACATCTTAGTGTTATTATGAAAGTGGTTTTGAACTTGCAGACCTTGCAACATTTTTAGAACCAGAGGGGAAGAAATGCTTTAAAGACTTAATTCATTGGGCCTGCTTCTTGTTTGGGGGTTCTTCTTAAATGGGAGCACAACCCACCACATGCCATGGATAGGGTTAACCTCTGATTTGTGGGATCAAGCTTGACATCACTTTGAAACCAAGTACTAGGTCCTCTCATTTTATGATGTATCTTGGAAGCCTCCTGAAAAACTCAGCAAGATTCACAGGTGCCTTTGGTTGCTTCTATGCCTGCAGACCTGACCTGTGTGTGCATCAGGATTACAGCTGTGTTGTGGCAAACAGGATCAGTGGGTGGTTCAGAGAAGTGCCAATGAGGTGATCATGCCAAGTGTGTAGAGGTTAGAGTGAGAATTACCAAGTAGTTGAGAAGTTATTTCCAAAGTAATAGAGACATGCTCTTGCCTCCTTTCCTTGTGTTCATTTCTATTTGCACTTGGGTAGTTGTTAACCTTGAGTTTGTTAGAATATGCTTACCAATCTTGGTGTTCTTTCACTTTTCACTTTTAAAGGTGAATCACTGTGTATGGTCCTTCCTTGGCCTCTACTGGAAAGCAATTGTCCAGCATTTTGGTGTGTGGTAGGTGGGATCCTTCAGTGAATTCTTTCCTTAATTTCATTCTCTGACAGCACATGTTTAAAATAGAAAATATATACTATATATAGTATACTATATACATATATGACTATATAGTGTATAATCAAAGGAAAAATTTCTCTAACTCAGGTATCTTTTTACCCAAAGAGCTTATACTGCTTGTACTGTTGTACAGGCTTTACAACAGTAAAGCTTGTATGTTGTACAAGCTTTACAACAGTAAGGCTTGTACTGCTTCAATGGATCAGTTTGGACACTGCAGCCAGTACTTTAGAAATGCACAGTCCTCAGGTGGGAGAAAAGAATGTGATCTAAACTTGGAGCACATATTGGGTTCTTTAAATAAGACTCCACTTTGATTGTGGGGTATCTGTTCTTCATCCTTTCAGTAGATACTTGTTGACCACCTATTTACCACATTCCCAGTTCTGTACCAGCTAGAAAAGTAATGAGTGCAAAAGATGCAGTCTCTATCTTTCTAAAGCTTAGGAAGCTGCTGGTTAATTGGGATAATCATTTGTCAGAGTATTAATAAAACATGGCCCTATATGAAGAACAATATTCCTATCAGAAGTGTGCTTCAAAAACATGAGCTTAAGCAACCAGAGTTCCACACTGTGAAGGTGATGATAAAAACCAACATTTATTAACTTGTGCCTGGCAACAACTTCTTTGCCTTTTCCCCTTTTATTGAGGAAGTAACTCCCTTTGAGGCAGCCAGACTCTATATAGAGAAATTACTTCCAACTTAATGCTACTCACTGAGCCAGATTTGGGGAAGATACTTCTCTGGGCCTTAGTGCCTTTGACTTTAAAGTAAGGAGTTGGACCATTGATAGCAGGTGTCCCAGATAACCAGGGGTTTACTACAGCTAGTTATTTGTGCGTATTCTTCATTTTATGATGTATCTTGCTGGCCTCCTGAAAAAATTCAGTGAGACTCACAGGTTGGCTTGGTTGTTTCTAATGTTTAGTCTTTTTTGTTTGTTTGTTTTGTTTTGTTTTGTTTTTAGTTTTTTAGCTTGAAATAAGCCACAATAGTAACACTTACATCATGGAAATAGGCCAGTGCTGCAAATCTGGGCTCCTTTCCCCTGGAGAGCAGATTGTTCAAAGTTTACCTGCACACCACTACTATTGTCAAAGCCAAGTTGCTTTTGATTTGTTTTTAATAGAAAACAGACTCTTTAGCCTGGACCAACACATTGGTTATGGGGTGGGAGATTCAAGTCCTTCACAGTCTTTGATAGAGAAAACACAGTATGTTTTGAACTTATCTTGGAATATGGATCAGCAAACTTTTTGTGCAAAGGGGCAGACAGTAAAACTTTTAGGCTTTGTGGGATATACAGTCTCTATTGCAACTACTCAGCTCTACTGCTGTTCTGTGAAAGCAGCCATAGACAGTATGGAAACAAAGGAGCATGACTGTGTTCCAGTAAAACTTTATTTGCAAAAACAGGCATTAGGCTGTAGTTTGCAGATTTTTTTCCTAAAATATGAGAACAGGAGTCATGTTTCAAGGAGGTATTTTCATAGAACAAGAATTCTTCAGGACTTTATGCATGAATACCAGGGACCTGAGTCTCCAAGATGGATTCAGCTGGCAGTCAGAACTGGAAAGTATTTGGAGTCAATCATAGAAGAATCCATAGTAGATTATTTAAAGAAAGCCCAGGTATTTTCAAGTTTTGAGAACACAGCCATGGATAGTGAGGAAATCTTTACTCCTAACTCCTTTTCTGGAGCCATCTCCATATATTATGCTGGAGTGGGTGGACCTGTAGTCTGATCTAGTGTGTCATGAAAAAAAACAGTAGCATCTCTTAACAGCTGTCTTTATTTCAGGGGCAGGGAAAAAGGAAGTATTCAAAAAGAAAGAAAAATCCTCCTGATATTTGTGTTATCTTATACACTGTGGTATGTGTATACTGTGTTTACATGTATATACATGCACAGTTGTATATCTGTATATGTACATAAGTTGAATATACATGTGATTATACATTTTATGTATTTTAAAGTAGCCTCATAATTGTTTGATAAACAGATGTACCACTGCTAACAGTAGCCAGTTCTGAGAAGTGGAATGGAATGGAAGGAAGGCAGGGAAATTTTACTTGTTATTTTTTGTAATATTAGATGTCTGGAACAAAATTCATACATAGTTTTTACAACTTAAAAACAAAACAAAAAACTAAAATCTCAACACCTATATTTTAAAAGGAAGATGGTATTATTTCTTTGGTAAGAATACTGCCACCACCCTTCTCCCCCAGTACGACAAACTACTTCCATTGTCACATCACATTTCCTAACTAGAGTATATAATAGTAGTATATATTGACTCAAATAGCATTGAGACTGAGCCGTCTCAAGTCAAAACAATATTAATGTTTGGCTTAAACTCCTGTGCAAAGTTGGAAGCACTAGATCAAAGCATCTTTTAATGGGCCTTTATAACCCTTACACTGGTGTTATAAAATTGCTATTATACAGTTTTTAAACTAATAAGCAGATTACATGGGACTATTTCCCAGCAATCCTCTGTTTCTGAGGAGAGAAAGCATGTACATAAATATATGAGTGGGCATCTGTCTGGACACAGGCATTGGATTTGCCAAAATGTTGAGTGGTTTTCTCTTGGTGGTGGGATACAGTTGACTTTTAAATTTTCTTACAAATTTTCCAACATGAACAAATACTGGATTTTATATGTCTAAAATCAACCCCTGTGGATATTTTTACACAAGATACATTGAGATCACATTGTCTCCATTTTTCTTAGACTGACACCAACATGCCTGGTAGTAGAAATCTGCATTTTACATTTCCAATGTAAAGTGGAAGAACGGGTGAAGAGAGTAAGGCATTGGAAACCCAGAACAGGCACACTTGTAACTGTAATCACATTGTGCTGTGTGGACTTCTCTGTGGAGTCTATTCCAACTCTTCCCCTACAGTTGACCAGGAGGTTAGAAAGTTCTTTGGCACCATCACTTCAGAAGCCATCAGCTGGCCAGCTCCCTAGATTGACTGGTCTTCATTTTTTTTTTTTTTTTAACTTTTTTGGGATTAGGGGTGCTGGGGTTTGAACTGTGTGGAGCTTTACCGCTGAGCTACATTCACAGCCCTTTTTATTTTCATACAGGGTCTCATTCAGTTGCTGAGGTTGGCCTTGAACTTGCCATCCTCCTGTCTCAGCCTCCTCAGGTCACTGGGATTGCAAGTGTGAGTCACTGCACCTGGCATTTAAACAAATTTTTAATGGGGGATTTCAGATATACAAGTAGGTAGAGAAGAGAGTATAAGCCCTCAGCCTTACAAGGATGACCATTAATAATTGGCCCATCTTGTTTTCACCTGTACCTTTCCTTGACCTCACTTCTTTTCCTCCTGCCAGGAGTTGGCATCTTCATTTTCAACTATTTAACAAAAAACTATTCTTTGCTGCATCTCTTTGGTAGTGCACATGTACCAGCACCGTAGAAGTCTTTCTAATGTCAGCCAAATTGAAATTCTGAATGGTCCTTGAGTACTTGCTGCATTTTCACCCCCTTGCATGGATTTTTAAACATTTTTAAAAATGATGAAAAACATCTTTAATGAATCTACTTTTGCATTTTGCTTTTCCCTCTGCCTGTGAATCTAAACCCATCTTTTCTTTTTCCCAGTTCTCTGTAAAGTCTTTCATGAATCCCAGTTGTAGCTCTCTTTCCTTTGACCTTTCTTCTGACCCTTATCTTATTGTAATTAATTGTACGCTTATCTTAGTCTTCTTGTTAAATTGTAATCTTTGGGTAAAAGGAGTGTTTTCCTTATCTTCCTTTCTCCTGTGGTATTTAGCAATGCTTAATGAAAAGAAGATACTCAAGAAATACATGCTAAATTAATTTGAATTGTTCAAGGTCAGTGGAGTAAAATTTTGAATATAAAAGAAATTCATCACATTAAAAGAAAAATTCTCAGGCATTATCTAGGACACGAACATTTTCTCCTACTTTCATGGATTTTTAAACATTTTAAATAATGATGAAAAACATCTTTAATTTGAACCAGCATTTTAAAAAATGGCTTCTTTTCTAAAAAAATTTTTCCCAAATATATATATCTGGAGCCTTTAGGTCTTTTCTGATCTTTATATGTTTTGCCCCTTAGGAATAATACCTCGGAAGAGGTACTAAATAGTATTGGATCATTTTTATTGGATAAGAGTGATTCTTGACTATATTTTAAATATTTATTGTTTTAAAGTGTAGATTTAAATCTTCAGCAAAGAAATAGGCTACATTTAGAGCTCAATGAGTCCCATGAAGTAAGTCAATAGTAGTCTCATAAATTACGATAGCTCACAGAGATGGAGTTCCTGGTGTATACTGTGCTTCGTGTGTTTGCCTCATTTAACTATCCCAGCAGCCCTTGTCATTTGGGCAGAGCAAGTGAAGATGGGCATTGTTATCTTAGAACTACAAAGAAGTAAACTGAGGTTTAACAGGCAAGAGGGAATTTTGTCCATAGCAGTTAAGTGACAGAGTCTGATATTAAGTGCAGATTAGAAACAAGATTTAAGAATTAGATGTTGCAATTATGCAAAGACATGAAACCATCTTACTAAACAGTGTGACTTTGAGACTCAGAACAGATTCTTGTGCCCCTTAATGCCTTGAAACTACTAAAATGATATCACACTCTCTGTAGCCATTTCTTTCTCAGATTCCTGAAGTTCTGCTTTTAGTCTTTGTTGTCAAGAGTTAATCCACTTTCAGTGAATTAGCCTCTCTACCTGAGTGTGGATGTGGTTCTATCCATTCTCTCTTGTCCTAAGGAGAACTCCAGGCCACCCCATCTTTGGATAATGTGACTTGCCTTGGGCCATTGCTCTAACAGACAGATATGGACCACTTAATTATTCATTATCTTCATAATCCTTTCTGTGAACGTTATTGTAGAATTACAAAGAAGGTACAAGTTGTGGCATGGCT